TACTTCTGCAGCAGCATAGTGGGGTATCCAAGCACACTGTATTAAAGTTTAAAATTGCACTGAGTCTTTTGGAACACCTATTTCATTACCTGCTTATTAATTCCTAGATCACCATGTTGGCTGGAACTATGAAAATATCCTTTAATACAGATGTTTAACATAGAGGTAAATCATCAGAAAATGAAAGCACCGTTAGAGTTAATAAGAAATGCGACACGGACCCAATAGAAGCAGATAATAACATACTTGCTCTGTTTATGACCCCAGACATGCTAATATGCTAATAAGTAATGCTTGCAAAGAATTGGAATAACACGTGTTTTTCAGCAGCTTTTTGGTTTAAATTGATTGCCAATAATGACAGTGATACAGTAGGAAGAATCCTTCAAAACCTGACAATGCTACAACAGTCTGTTCCTAAGTATAAATTTCGCATGTGTGTACGTATATCTGTAGGATAAATTGCTAGAAGTCTAAATAAGACTAAAATATATGTAATTTTAAATTCTGATGGATGTATCAATTCTATCAGTTTATACTTCTAATGATCAGTATAATTGTAAAAACCTGTACCCTCTAGTCAAATAAGGTACATCCACACAGAATACTGTGAAGATGTTAAGAATTAGCACTAAAGATACTACTGACATGGAATAATCTCTATGATATTTTAAAGAGATGTATATTTATTAATCTTGGAACCTAAAATTTTGTATATGTACATGCTTACATACATATTTACATAGCCTTTATGCCTGTGAAATACATGGAGTATTTCTATAAGTACACACAACAGTAGTTACCCCTGGGGTATAAAGCTGAAGCTGGGATCAGTGAAGAGACTTATTTATCATTGTTTCCTCTTTTTGTACTCTTTGAATTTTGTACCATGTAAATGCTACCTTTTCTAAAAATATGTGAAATTTAACTTATAAAATGAATGGCATGTGCCAGAATTCAACCACAATTAAAACTCCCAATAAAATATGAGTTGTTCAGATTATAACTTAACATCTTCTAAAAATTTTTTTTTATAGACCTTTGTGTCACTTCAGTGTCAAAAGGAGGATTTGAAAGGGAAGAAACGGCAACATTTGCACTGCTCTACAGATTGAGAAATCTACTATTTGAAAGAAGTATGTCCATTGAAGATTTTGTTCCTTCTCAGATTAACACTTGAGGTTCTCTTTATTAATCTTGTCTTTAAGAATTTAAATTTAAAAGTCAAATTTCATGACTGTTTAGATTTACGCATAGTTATAAATGCAGTCTGGCTATACATTTTTTTATTTAACTTTTAACACATGTCTGTTTTTATCCTTTTAGATAGAAGAGTGATGGATGCCATTTCTCGTTCACAGCTTTACTTAGATGATCTATTTTCTGACTATTATGACAAACCTCTCAGCATGAGTGATATTTCACTCAAAGAAGGTACTCACATCCGTGTTAATTTACTTAATCACAACATTCCAAAAGGACCTTGCATACTCTGTGGAATGGGGAACTTTAAAAGGGAGACTGTTTACGGGTGTTTTCAGTGCTCTGTTGACGGGCAGAAGTACGTGCGACTTCATGCAGTTCCTTGTTTTGATATTTGGCACAAGAGAATGAAATAAAATGGAAAACAAATGTACCTTGCTGGTGTTTTGTGTGCAACTGTGCCACACACCTTTCCAAAATTATCTTGGTTCACTTTGATGAATTGTAACAAATTAAAGAGGGAGAGGAATGAGAAATTAATCTGTCTGGGCATCATTTTTCCCATTTATAACATGGAGATGATAATAGTATCTACCTCAGAAATTGTCATGAAGATTAATATTGTTTATATCAGAAAGGCTTATATTTAAAATTCAGAATATAGACATTCCTTTATAAAATCTGCTAGTTGAATCTACCTTGGAACTTAGTCTACCATTTTACATACAAACTTTCGAGATATGTTTTATTTTTAATTGACTTTTAATTCAATATTTGAGGATGACAGGAATGCACAAGTGGCAACTTTTTGATGCTTTAACTATTTCCCTAGGTCTGGTAAAATGAGAAAAATGTATTAATAATTTAATGTAATCCTAAATGTTTAATTGTGGTATCAAATTAAAAGCACACCGAGCTCAGTGTGGGGTTTTATGTACATAGTTAAGTGTGACTGATCGTAGTAATGGGCTGCCATTCAATGATGTGGGTATATATGTGCGCACAAGCTTTGTCTTTATAAGAACTCAGTACTGTCATTTTAAAGTTAAGGCAGCTGGGACACATTTACTTCTCTTCTTTGAAAGTGTTTGAAACATTTAACATACTTTGTTCTCAGAGACCTTTTTCATCTACTCTGTAAGACATGAAATTTTTTCATATACAAACCTAAATAATAGGCTCAGCTGGTAAAGAATCCGCCTGCAATGCGGGAGATCTGGGTTCGATCCCTGGGTTGGGAAGATCCCCTGGAGAAGGGAAAGGTTACCCACTCCAGTATTCTGGCCTGGAGAATTTCATGGATTGTATAGTCCATGGGGTCGCAAAGAGTCAGACACAACTGAGTGACTTGCACATGCACTTGCATTATTAAAATAATTACAGAAGTACTGTTAAAATTCCAGAACTCAAAGTATATAGTACAGCAGTCAGTATTAGGCATATGCCAATGAAGGTGTTAGGCAATTGTGTAAATATGAAATATTTACTTGTTTACTATATGTATGTAGAAGGGTTAAAATTTTATTTATTTAAACATGAATAGTTTTCAAGTAAATTTCCATATTCATATGACATCATCTATGATTTTTTAAAACATAAGTTTAAAAGTACTTGGTATGAAAACAATGGGATAGAACGGTGAGAATTAGAAACAGTATCAGGATAATTTCCAGTATAGCTTTCATGACATTTTTGTTTTGCAGAGTATATAATTCAGGTGCAAATATGAGTATACTGATCAAAAAAGGCTCTAGTGACTTCTTTTATATGGATATAGACATGGGGACAGTTTCTAAACCAAAGTATAATATTGTGTTATCAACTTAAGTTTACTACTGAGCAGGTTTTTCTGAGGAAAGTAAAGCGATGAAAGTTGAAGACTGAGTTAAGTGAGGAGGAGGTATAAAACTAGGTTATGGGAATGAAGAAATATTGGGAGACAGGAAAAGATAGTAAATGTTTTATTTTATGAAGTGTCTAGCTCTGTGCTAAACATATGTGATATTCACTGACCTAGTGAGATTTGTGTTGCCCTTATGCTTTTTTTTTTGATGTGGAATATTTTTAAAGTCTATATTGAATTTGTTACAATACTGTTGCTGTTTTATGTTTTGGTTTTTTGACCAAGAAGCACGTGGGATCTTAGGTCCTCAACCAAGGATCGAACCCCACACTCTCCATTGGAAGGCAAAACTCTAACCACTGAATGGCCAGGAAAGCCCCCCTTATACTTTTAAATTATAGGATTTCTAGCAGTATATATAAAGAGGTTAAAAGATAATCAATAAACAATGGTTTGGAAAGAGTAAGTTTCATAAAATGGAAAAAACTGTTTTAAACTTACTTGTTTTGAATAGAGCTATTTACTACCTAAGCACACTTTTCTACGGGCTTCACTGGTGTCTCAGATGGTAAAGAGTCTGCCTGCAATGCGGGATACCTGGGTTTGATCCTTGGGTCAGGAAGATCCCCTGGAGAAGGAAATGGAAACCCACTCCAGTATTCTTGCCTGGAGAATTCCATGGACAGGGGAGCCTGGTGGGCTATACCCCATGGGGTCACAAAGAGTTGGATACAACTGAGCGACTAACACACATACACACATGGTTTTCTATATATACAGTAGGCAAATCTGACCTGATCCAATAAATATGTATCCTTTCTTGGGTACCAGCATGATCTTCTACAGCATCTCTTACCTCTTATTCTCAACATGTTGACCACAATGATTTGACGATGACACAAAATTGCCATGGCACTTTATATCCTCATGTATCCTCATGTGTAAAATAAGTTCTACACATCTATCAAAAATTTGATGGCATACGTTTATACTGTTTGCTCATGGTTAATACTAAGAACATTGTGAAATGAAATGACATAGGATAGAAATACCCAGAGAAAGGGAGACTTAAGAAATGCCATAGCATCAATTAAAAACTATCAAGACAAAAAGTTAGGGATGGTAGATATAAAGGCCTACAAGAAGGAAGAGGTGTAGCACATTCGTAATGATGTCTGAGGGTGTGCACTAGTCAGAGCAGTGTGGACTTTATGACACATGCTCTAAGACAGAGGCACAAAGCCAAACATCAGCCCCTGGAACAGATACCCACTGCCAGAAGCTTGCACCATAAAGTACCGACACTGTGTTGAGGCTCTCTGTGGGACATATTATTACAACTCATACTTTTCTACATGCACACTAAAGGAAGATTCCTCAGTCATATGACTTTATTTTTGGCTGTGCCGTGTGAAATGTGAACCCATTTCCCCTGTAGTGGAAGCTCAGAGTTTTAACCACTGGTCTACCAGGGAAGTCTGGTAGATTTTTATATCTTACTACTGTCTGTAATGCTATGAAATGTATAAAACAAGTGAAATGTTAATTCTTGGGTTTCTATTAAATATGTTTAAAATATGGGGTACTTTAAATAATAAAAATTGGGTATTTACATATCTATACATGCTGTTAGAGTTGGGAAGAACTTACAGATTATGACATAAGTGTCTTCCTATAAGTTGAAGGGGAAAAAATTGCCTAATAGAATACAGAGGTCGATTTCATGGTACTGCAATTCACGTTAACAGAATAAAGCAATAGGAAACACAATCATGCCTATTTGAAAGTTAAATTTTGCAAAAAAGCCTCACATTTATTATTCTAATATTACATGTATTGAAGGACCAAAATATGTTCATGAGGGAAAAATAGAAAATACAATGCAGAGAAAAGTGACTTTGTTTTATATATAAAGTACAGTAAATAGCTAAGAAAATTTAGAAATAAAAATATGCTATAGTTCATCATGTTGATAGACATTGTATTCCTTAGGAGAAATGAAGCCATCACCATCATGGTCATTCTTCTTAAAAAAATCCTCTAAAACTGCAGTCTGATATGACTTGTCACGTGGCTTCTCATCTTTTTCAAATTCTTTTTTTAGGTAATGACTTATCTAGAGGGCCAAAATAATATTTCTTTAATAAAAAAGATATCACAATAAATTTCCAGCAACTTTGAGAAAGCTTTCAGGAAACATATCTCAGACTACTTATTATACGTGATACAAAAATTTTAAAGGCTATTTGAGGTTTTATTTTTTTCAACCTTTGAAGGAATTTTCTGAAAAGAAACAGATCTTCAAATTAGCTTCCCCTGAGGTTAGAGATGGTTAATGGTACATACTCAGAGATTAACATCTGAATGTTAATGGCAACCTGTTCCACTGTACTTGTCTGCAGAATTCCATGGACAGAGGAGCCTGGCGGGCTACAGTCCATGGGGTCACAGAGTCAGACATGACTGAGCAACTGAGCATGCAGGCACACACATGCTATACAATAGGTCCTTGTTTATTTTATATATAGTAGTGTGTATCTGTTAATCCCAAATTCCCAATTTATCCTTTCCCTCTTTCTTTCCCCTTTGGTAACCATAATTTGTTTTCTATGTCTGTGAGTCTGCTTCTATTTTGTATCATTTTTTTAGATTCCATTTGTAAGTGATATCATTTGTCTTTCAGTTCATTTAGTATGATAATCTCTATGTCCACTTATGTTGCTGCAAATGGCATTATTTCATTCTTTTTTATGGCTAAGTAATATTCCATTGTATGTATGTATGTGTGTGTACGTATGCATGTACGTATGTGTATGTACGTATGTGTGTATATGTATGCATGTATGTATGTAGGCATGTACACCACATCTTTATCCATTTATCTGTCAGTGGACATTTACGGTGCTTCTGTGTCTTGGATGTTGTAACTAGTGCTGCAATGAACAGGGGTGCCTGTTAGTTTTTCAAATTATAGTTTTGTCTGTATCTATGTCCAGGAATGGGATTGCTGGGTCACATGACTATTTTTAGAGTCATGATGTCTGTGTAGAGATTAGTTTGGTATTTTAATGACCCTCTTGCAGGGAGAAAAGAAATTAAACAGGTTGACTCCATTTCAACTTTTATATTAAAACACATTTTCTTCTTAGAATTTAATATTTTTGTAATTAGCTTTATAAAAGCAAATTAATTAGCCCATGCTAGATAGAAGTAAACATAATAGCTTTAACACAGATGTATTTAAACAGTAATAAAAATTTAGATTGTACATATGAAATCTGTTTGAATTACCTCAGTTTTAGAAAGTTGCCTGTCATTGTCCATGTCTATCTGTTTAAATGTTTCAACGCTTCGTGGTCCTTTGGTCACAGCATAAAGTTCAATCTCAAAAATCAATGTTGCATCAGGTGGAATCTTGCCTTCTGCTAAAGGTATGAATTTTAACAGTTTAACTTACATGAAGATAATGGTCAAATATATATTCACAAATAGCCATGACAGCATTATGATTGTATTATTTCATATTTATAAGAATTGCTTTCTAACTATTTCTTAGGAACACTTTTCTCATATGTTTTCAAAACAAGTAAGTTCTAAAGACTTAGGGGACCATTGTTTTCTGATTAAATTTAAATAAATATAAACCATATAATTTTTAACAATATACTCCAGCATCATACAAGAAAGAGCTAGTGCAGAGAAGAAACTCACAGCCAGAAATATTTCAAAGATTAGTATCTTTTAGAAAATGATTTTGTTCAGTTATTTGGAAGTATGAATAAAATACATATTAATATACTTGTTTGTCAGATTTGTCATATAGACAAAAAATACTGCAATAACAGAACAAACCAGTAACAATTTCATGAAGAAATTTCTAATCACAAAAAAACTCTTATAAGTATTAAGTTAAATAGTTCCCTTTAATAAAGTTAGCCAATTAAGTGATGTCACAGATGATTTTAGCGAGCTATGGGCTACTTCAGATGGGCATTCATAAAAATGACCTGCAGTGGGCTTTTGTCACTACATAGAGTTACTCAAATATTTGTTGAATGAATGGGGTCTATCACTTATTTTAAAAAATGGCTAAGTTTGTTCTTTGATGGAAACTAATTTTTTAATGAAAAAGTGGAGGATTCTTGCTAAAATTTTATATAATTCAAAGAAAAAAGCTTGAAAGTTACAGCCAAAGGAAGTAGATCAGTCATCTCCAAACCAGGACACAGAAAAATCTACCCATATATCACATGACTAATGTGACCATCCCAACCAACGTACATTACCTAACTTTAGAGTAAAAGATTGAGTCAATGATAATTTTAAAGATCCATCCCCATTCTCTCTCATTAAGATCTCTTTATGACAGAAAAATAACTTTTTCTGACAATAATTAAAAACAAATTCAAAATTCTTAAGGAAAACTATTACAAGTTTTCCCCGAAATTCAACTGTAAACATAGAATAAATTGCCAGTTAGTTTTATCTTACTAAAAAATGATAGTATAAAGGGGAGAAAAACATGCATTTACTATAGAATTACTTGTATTTAGAGAAGCAGATCAAAAGACTTAGGAATTAATGTAAAGAATCTATACATACCACATGTACTGTTAGTTAAAGCACTAACAAATCACATGCATTTCAAGACATGCAGAGGTGCTCTGTGACATTAGGCAAGAATATTGCGCAGAAGAAAAGACTTCTTCAAGGACTACCTAAAATAAAGTTACAGCTTATGTTAGGTCTTAATGACAATTTATTTAGAAAAGCTTATTCAATCAAGATATTGTGTGTTAAGCAGTTGCTTATGGTCTACACAGCAGCTTTGAAAATAACTGAACTCAAGCTATTAGTAAGTTATTATAAATAATACACGTAAACTAGCAGTTAGCGACATTCGAAAGAACACACTTTTGTTGGGCTTCAGTTTCCTTACATGTAAGACAGAGGTGTTGGTGATATTATTATACTAGTGAGATTCATGGGGATTCCCTGGTGGCTCAGATGGTAAAGCATCTGCCTGAAATGCGGGAGTCCTGGGTTCAATTCCCTGGTTGGGAATATCCCCTGGAGAAGGAAATGGCAACCCACTCCAATACTCTTGCTTAGAAAATTCCATGGATGGAGGAGGCTGGTGGGCTACAGTCCATGGGGTCATTATATTTATTGAAGACACCTCAAACTGAATATGAACTAACTTCTTCACGTCAAATTTATATATTTTATATATTTTTGCCACAAGGGTCTAGCTTATTAATAGTTTAGGCTGCCTGGGTAGCCATTCATATCTAAGCATAAATTAGTTTACAATAAGGGTAAAATTAGTAATCATTTGTCATGTGGTAACAGGACCTAGTATGAGCACCAGCTGACAAGAGATGTGGGTGCTCTTGTAGCAGGCAGAATGCTCTCTTGTCTACAAGAGAGCAAGAGAAACTCTGAAAATGAAATTTAAGGAGGCTGAAAGGCAAACTCTGCCTGTATTAGTTTGTCTAGAATTGGGCTCAGTCCATGACAGCGTTTTTAGGACAAGGTTACATTCAATTTAACTTATCTTCAATTCTCTCTCTCCTAGGCTCCTTTACAACTAAAAATAGGATACCTTAATTATGGTTTTGTGGGAGCTATTTTGATGGAACCAAATGATTGGCAAAAAACTTTGAAAGTGAAGATGTAGTTATCTGGACTGTCTCTTTAGGAGTTTTAAATCTGACTGAGTTTGATTTGTATTATTAATGTCCCTCCAGTCCAATCTGGGGGCTGGGATCCTTGCTCCTGCTGGAAAGAATAGGCAAGGAAACCAGCTCTTCTAATGACTAAAACAACAGCCTTAAAGAGGGTGTGCCATTTCAATGAAATATTGGGGTATAGAGACAATATTTCATTGTAGAAACCCTTGATTACTTTAATTGTATACTAAATATTTCAAATAGCTGGGGTTAAGAAGGACTCAAAATAAAATGAGGTGGTAAAAATTCTTTCTTTAGGGAATTCTCTGGTGGTCCAGTGGTTAAGATTCTGCGTTTCTACTGCAGGGAGCACAGGGTTTGATCCCTCATCCAGGAGCTAAGATTCCTGCAAACCACAGGGCACAGTAAAAAAAAAAGTCTTTGTAGTTTTCATACAGTAAAAGGAAGCAAGGACCCAACTGAGAATGCTAGAAACCAGCTCTCTGCCATACTGCCCATTTTCCCCCCTTAAAAATTTTTTTCTATTCTCCACTTTTGTGTTTGGTAGTTGCTCAGATGTATCTGACTCTTCATGACCCATGGACTGTAGCCGACTAGGCTCCTCTGTCCATGGAATTCTTCAGGCAAGAATACTAGAGAGGGTTGCCATTTCCTTCCCCAGGGGATCTTCCCAACCCAGGCATCAAACCCAGGTCTCCTGCACTGCAGGCAGACTCTTTACCATCTGAGCCACCTGGGAAACCCCACTTTAGTGATTTTTAAAAATTTAATTTTGGAAAAATTAATACATGCCTTTGTCTGTCTGGTTTATTTTCAGTTAGCATAATACCCTCTAGGTCCATCCATGTTGTTGCATATGGCAAGATTTCTTTCCTCTTTATGGCTGAGAAATACTCCAGTGTGTGTGTGTATGTATCTATATCACATCTTTATCTACTCATTTGTATTTTTCGGTGAGTGGGCCACTTGTTTATGAAGTTGCCCATTTCTAGGACAGGTCATCATACATGTTTATACATGCTGCAAACATTTTCCTCATTTATCTGCTTAACCTAGGTTCTCATAGCTTACTCAAGTATTTTTAAAATAGTAATATATTGAAAGAAGCTGTTCATTTTTCTACATTTCAAGGCTTCTCCTGAATTTGGGTAGTAGTGATTAATAGCTTGTTATGTTTAGATGTTCTTTCTACAATGTTCTAGTGCTGTCCTTTTACTTCAAAATCATATGTTCCAGTTTCTTGAGTTTTATGAATTTGACTTTGATACTCCTTACAAAAAAGTATTTTCTATAGACATTTATATAATAATTAATAAAATAACATACTTAAGCGACTAAGGTAGAATTTATAAAATATACACTGTAATTATGAATATTGCCACTATGTGGAGTAAAGAACTCTGGCCAGAGACTTGTATTGCAACAATGGCTTAATATCTCGATATGTAAAAAGAGAGAACTGGGCTGGACTGGATTCCATACAGCTAAAGTTTATTGGACCCTATGTTCTATAAATATTTTCTCTATGTTTTTTATTTTTTTAGTAATTCAAAAATTTTAATTGTGGGAAAATACAATTAAAATTTACCACTGTAACCATTTTAAGTATAGAGTTTGTTCAGTGGTGGTATGTATATCGACACTGCAACCAGTCTCTCGAACTATTTCATCTCGCAGAACTGAAACTCTACACCTATTAAATAACAACTGCCTATATTCCACCCTCTCTCCCCTGGCTCTGGCAACCACCCTGGTCATCCTGGCTCTATGAATTTGACTGTTCTAGGTACTTTATATAAGTGGGATCATACAGTGTTGGTTTTTGTGTTTGGCTTATTTCACTTAGCATAATGTATTCAAGGTTCATCCATGTTGTAGCATATATCAAAATTTCTTTCCTTTTAAGGCTGAATAATATTCCACTGAATGTATATACCACATTTTGTTTATCCATTCTTATGTCAATAAGACATTTGGGTTATTTTCAGTTTTTGGCTATTTTGAATAATGCTGCTGTGAACATAGTTGTAACTATGAGTTACTCATAGTAACTTTGAGAGTCTGCTTTCGATTTTTTTGACTATTTACCCAGAAGTCTATGATTTATTTTTACCATATTTTTACCTTACCATAGCCTTCCTTTCCATATGCAAATGAAGGCGGTATAATCAATTTTCGCTTCTCTCCAGGACACATATCCATCATCCCAATGTCTAGGCCTTTTATGACTTGTCCAACACCAAGAACAAACCATTTGGGGTGGCCTTCATTTTGTGTCCGGCTGTAATTAAAAACATCACCTCGGTAAGTTGATTTCAAGGAAAATAAAATCAAACTTTAAAATACAGCTGAGTATTTAGTTCCAATGTAAAATTGGAAACCTCTCTAACCATGTCTTTTCCTACATTATGACTCATTCTGAATCCCATAGTGGGGTGTTTGGCTCAACTTTCCCTCATAATAGCCAGACAGAGGTTTGATTTGCCCAAAGCTAGTCATTAGGAGTCATCTCATTTTCTTTTTTCTTGTCATCTTTACAAAAACGACTCAACAGTTAACTTTTTAATGGGTCTCCTGCCCCAACTGCATAGTTTGTCCAAATGACTTATTTAACCATTCTGTGTTAATTCTAAAAAAAATTGATGGTCCAGGTTTAGCCTCAAAAAGTCAATTTGAACCACGATTAAAATTTGTATCTTTTATTCTTATTAAATTTCTCTTATTTTCTTCTAAATGGAATCAATTAACTTTCCCCAATCATATTTTTATAGGGTAATAGCACAGAAGGAGAAAAGACATTCTATCTCTGAGTAATAAAACATCAATTAAACCAGAGTAACTAGTGGTGGGATGAGGGGGCAGGGCAGAAAGACACAGGGTCCAAAAATCACTGGAGAAAGTCATTGTAGTGGCTTCTAGTAGTGGAAAGCGGCCTCCAGTCAGTAAATATTGTGCTTCTGAAGGCCAGATAAACTATTCTACATAATCCTCTGTAAGGAGACTCCAACCCACAGCAAAGGAAGTGTGAACATTCTTACAAACAGTACCTTGACTGACTTCTATAGGCGGTGGTGAGGAGAGCGTATAGATGTAGTGTATTTTTAATGAGTTCTTGGGCTAACATTTTCAGTAATTTAAAAAGTAATATTCCATATAATAGGGAAATACTATATCAAATCCTATTTTCCCCCTAGAAAGTTCATAAAGGCTTAACTCTTACTGTTCAAAATCAGCCTCAAACAACCCAACAAATTAAGCTTCTGGTTGGTGGAGGGAGGTTAGATTTAGTACATCAGCTGGACTCGGGAGCTGTTCTCATCCTACCTGCAGTAGAATTTCGAGCCGTCTTTAGCCAAGAAGCCGTCGTAATGGGCATTTAGCAGGTCTCCCTTTTTGCTTGTCTTAGAACAATTTTCTGGACGATGCAAAACTTCTATTTTTACTTCCTCTGTGCTCTCCTCTGCCTTTTGTCCCTGAGCAGTAAAAATGCCCCACACGTAAAAGAAAAGGATTAACCTAGATAAGAAATGCATGATTCCTGGATTCACCCCCAGATGATCACTGCGTTCCCTCAAGCGTGTCAGTCGCAGGGCGGGTGGCAGCCGCTGTAGCCCTTTTCCGACGCGTGGCAGGCGGGCATTGTCCTACGTCACAAAGGGCCAGGGGCGGGGTGAAGCGTAGCACCGCCCCTTTCTCCTGCGGCGAGTCCAGCCCTTAGAATTTTTGTCAATTGACTGCTGGCTGCACCCTTGTGGTACCCCGCGCTTTCACTGACTGTCCTTAGCCGCTAAGGCAACACTGTACTTTTGCACCGCATCTCCTTTCCAAGTCCTCATATTTACAGCCAGTTTCCTCAGGGTTTGATAGTAAAGTTAACTTTTTTTTTTTTTTTAAACTGGCAAAAGACTAAATAAAAAGACTACAGTGGGAGATTGTAATCAGGGCTACACGGTTGGGTGTGAAAGGCTTCTCCTCAGATTTCTAGAGAACTGGTGCGCATCAGGAGAAGCACTCTTGTTTCTGGGGTTTCCTTGAAGCGCCTTCTTAAGGTCAGAGTCATACATTAAGAGGCTTCAGGCTAAGCCGCACACTAGTAAACAGGTGCCACTGCTCCCCGCTGGTTAAAAGCCTTTCCGCAGAGCCGACTAGCGATTTGGGACCGGCTACAGGTTTGCATTTTCCGTCCTTCCCCACTTGGGGTCGCCCTTGATTATGAGGGCTGTGAAAGGGCTGCACTCGGCAGTGGCCACAGGACTGGAAAAATTCAGTTTTCATTCCAATCCCAAAGAAAGGCAATGCTAAAGAATGCTCAAACTACTGCACAATCGCACTCATCTCACTCTAGCAAAGTAGTGCTGAAAATTCTCCAAGCCAGGCTTCAACAGTACGTGAACCGTGAACTTCCAGATGTTCAATCTGGATTTAGAAAGGGCAGAGAAACCAGAGATCAAATTGCAGACATCTGTTGGATCATCGAAAAAGCAAGAAAATTCCAGAAAAACATCTGCTTTGTTGACTACGCCAAAGCCGTTGACTGTGTGGATCACGACGAACTGCGGAAAATTCTGAAAGAGATGGGAATACCAGACCGCCTGACCTGTCTCTTGAGAAATCTGTATGCAGATCAAGAAGCAACAGAAATGAACATGAAACAACAGATGGTTCCAAATCGGGAAAGGAGTACGTCAAGGCTGTATATTGTCACCCTGCTTATTTAACTTATATGCAGAGTACATCATGAGAAATGCTGGACTGGATGAAGCACAAGCTGGAATCAAGATTGCTGGGAGAAATATCAATAACCTCAGATATGCAGACGACACCACCCCTATGGCAGAAAGCAAAGAACTACAGAGCCTCTTGATGAAAGTGAAGAGGAGAGTGAAAAAGTTGGCTTAAAACTCAACATTCAGAAAATGAATACCACAGCATCTGGTCCCATCACTTCATGGCAAATAGATGAGGAAACAGTGGAAACAGTGACAGGCTTTATCTTCTTGGACTCCCAAATCGCTGCAGATGGTGACTGCAGCCAGGAAATTAAAAGAAGCTTGCTCCTTGGAAGAAAAGTTACTATCAACCTAGACAGCATATTAAAATGCAGAGACATTACTTTGCCAACAAAGCTCCATCTAGTCAAAGCTTTGGTTTTTCCAGTAGTCATGTATGGATGTGAGAATTGGACTATAGAGAAAGCTGAACGCTGAAGAATTGATGCTTTTGAACTGAGGTGTTGGAGAAGACTCTTGAGAGCCCTTGGAGTGCAAGGAGATCCAACCAGTCCATCCTAAAGGAAATCAGTCCTGCATATTCATTGGAAGGACTGATGCTGAAGCTGAAACTCCAATATTTTGGCCACCTGATGTGAAGAACTGACTCATTTTAAAATACCCTGATGCTGGGAATGATTGAAGGTGGGAGGAGAAGGGGATGACAGAGGATGAGATGGTTGGATGGCATCACCGATTCAATGGACATGAATTTGAGTAAGCTCTGGGAGTTGGTGATGGACAGGGAAACCTGGCATACTGCTGTCCATGGGATCACGTAGAGTCAGAAGCAACTGAGCGACTGGTAAATTTCTGCTGTTGCTTTTCTTACCAACTCTGCGAGATGTCATTATCCACATTCCACAGAGGAGAAAATGAGGTAATTTAAATCTTGGGCATTCTATTTTAATCTCACACAGTTAATATGCATCAAGGATATGACCAAGTCTGACACAAAAGCCATATATGAGCTTTTGAGTCGTATATGCTCACCTTCGACATTTTAGTATAAAAACTTGACAATATACACAATAGATTTTACTATCCCATCACCGCGGTCTTAAACCCACTACTTGTATACTATCACATCCATCTGGCCATCTAACCATCAATTCACTATATTTCCAGGTGAATACTCTTACCCAAACTAGGACTTCAGGGAAAGCCTGGTTCTGGAATGGGAGATATTACCTACCTCGGTGATGCTAAGAAAAGCAGCAGCAGTGAGCCTGCTTTAAGCTTTACTTAAAGTGTGCAAAATTCCAAACATCTGAAAATTATTTTTAGTTATACATGGGGATAGGGCTCCCCAGGTGGCTCATTGGTAAAGATTCTGCCTGTCAAGCAGATGTGGGTTCGATCTCTGGGTCGCAAATACCCTGGAGAAGGAATGGCAACCCATTCCAGTATTCTTGCCTGGGAAATCCTGTGGACAGAAGAGCTTGGTGGGCTATAATCCATGGGTCGCAAAGAGCTGACACAACTTAGACTGAACAGCAGCGGCAGCATACATAAGGATGGTCATTTCCAAATAGGATTTAAAAAATCCTAAAAGCGAGGGCAGACTTTCATTTTTAAAATAAACTCCAAAGCTTGCTCCCATGTTTTATGTTTTAAATGAAGTAGTGGCTAAGATGTATTGCTTGGTGACAATTCCTTGGGGCCCCTCGTTGTTCCCTGCCGGAGGACTCTCAGAAGCACACCGCCTTCCTAGGAGATAATTTCTCAGATCCCCCGAATGTGATGTGAAGAAGATGCGAAGTTAACATAAACAGGAAGTCTTTTATTTTTTGAAAAGCAACCACCGGAGGGACGGGAGGCTCAATTACAGGAAAACCTGAGAGGCCTAAATCAGCGCCTGACAGACGAATGCGCTGGGGGCTAGTCCTGGGGTTGGCCTGGGGGCTGCGCTCACAGTGGAGTCTGCGTGCGCTAGTCCTGGGCCCCGAGGCTTAGGCCCCAGGATACCGGGGAGCGGTCGGCCCAGGAATCAGCGTCCGGGATGAGAATGGGATCCCGTAGGACGCCAGCCGAGGGTCTGTAGGAGAATGAGGAGGAGTCAGGACTCTGGCCCGCCCTCTTGGCTCAGCCTCTGGCTCGGCGAAGGGGCGGAGGCCGCGCCCGCTCCTCCAGCCCCGCCGGCGGGGAGGGGTTTCCCGGGACGCGCCGGCCCCTTTCATCCAGGAAGTGAAAGCGACGTCGGGGTCAATGAAAATAAACGGGGAACCCGGGGTGGAAGGAAGGCGGGCTAGAAGGAGGGAGCGCTCGGCAGCGGAAACGCGAGCGGGAGGCCGGCCGGGGTCGCGATTTTGCTGCCGCCTCCTCCGGGACTAGCCCGGGGATGTCTGCGCCCACGTTTCGAGGCCCCCGAGCTCCACGTAGCGGCCGCCGTCCGGGCCTTTGAGGGCCGCCACGTCCCTGCGGCGCGCGCGGCCTGAGGGCGGCTCGGTGCCGGCTCGGGGCGCCGGGGGCGGGGCCCGGGCGGGCGGGGAGGGGTTGCCCAGGCTCTGCGTTTCCCCCATCACTTCGGCCGGCGCTGGGCCGGGAGGATGCGCGGCGCAGGGCTGTGAAGCATGGAGGGGGTTCTCTACAAGTGGACCAACTATCTCACGGGTATGGTGGGGTCGGGTGCCCCGGGGGGCGGCGGGGAGAGGGCTTGAGCGGGGTGGGGTGGGGGGCCCCGGCGGGCAGGCTGAGGAGAAGGCGGTCAAGGACTCCTTCATTTGCCTGCCTGGGGGACCCCCACAGCGAAATCGGCTGTTTGGTTTCCGGGTTTAATCCCTCTCTCTGTCCCTTGTAAGTACCCATCTGGCTTCTTGAGGGGATAGTTCGAGACTACGCACCATCCTCCTGAGGGTGGGAGGTGTACCTGACCACTTCTTTGCCTGTGTAATAATATTTCTGTTTCCTCCTCTAGCTTCCGGAACCATTCTTACTCTACATACGTTGTTGCAATCTCTGTCTTTACTCACACTTAAGTATTCTGTTAATAACCGAGTTGTTGGGACATAAGCCTGGAATGAACCCTTTAAGAGCCAAGTTTTCGTTTTAAGAAATATTTTCATTATATCTTTTAATTTTGTTTAGCAACACGGTTTATTTTAAAAGTTCTCATGTTGAAGTCGTTCGAGCACAACAAGCAGGATTTTGGAAGCTGTTCCAAGATAATATTCTCTTAGAGGTTGATTGTCAATGAGTTACGCTTGTGCTTTGGAATTCAGTTAAGTGTGTGAGAAATTGTGGGAGAAAGGACAGGATACAAGAAGGTGGATGCAGCAAGTCAGTTTCACTTGTGAAGTGGATTGAAAGGAATAACTCCAAAAAGCTAGGTGTTTCTGCAGCAATGAGAGACCAGCAGGGAAGGGCCCTTTTCCATGACACCCAGTCTGGCTTGTTAAAAAGAGACTTAAATCTGAGTTGTAGTCCTATCCCTGCCATCAACTAATGGTAAGAACAAATCATTTTTTCTCTCAAGATCTGAGACTTATAGTGCCAGGGTGATCAACTAGTTTATCCTGAAGGTGTTTTCCAACTCCAGAATTCTATGATCTCATTAAATTAGAGGAAAGAGAATGGATTTAAAGTATGGTTAAATGGCAAACAGGTATCTTGGTTTAGTGTAATTAATAGGCCAATCTTGATTTGCTGCCTGCTTGTTCACTCAGCCAAAAGTAATTGTATGGTGCGTTCATCTTGTGTACATCTAACCTTGTGCAAAATCTGCACATAAACACTTTTTAAGACATAACCACCACCGAGCTATAGTTGTCTCTTTTTTTTATTAATTGGAATGCTAAAGACAGTTTATAGCAGCAAATGCTTTATATGATACATAGATGTTTTGTTGCATTAAAATGTCACATTTTATTTCTATAACATGTTTTAAGAAAACACATGATGCAAATTTTTTATTACGAATTTTCACATGGGCAGTTGTGAGAACAATTATACTGCTGAGTTTAACTTTGAAACACTAGCTACTATGTTTTGAGATGCAAATGATCATCTCATTGCAAATATTCGTAAGCACAGTGGCTGGGGAGTTCATGTGAGGAACCTCTTATGTGTAGCCCAGAGCAATGGGTGATTACTAAGATGAGTCATAATTTATTCCTCAAACTAAGTGTAGTCTTAGTGACCCTCCAGCTGGTTGAGCTTTTAACCTTGTGTGCTGAAAGTTTATATCTTTGTAGAACATTTAAGTTGACTGCTAGTATGGCGCATAGAAGCTTGATAAAATGAAATCTTTTATTTGGAAGAACTCTTTTTAATATTTAAATTTGGCTCAGTGGCATGCTTATTATTACTTTTAGTTCATCTTAGGTCAGAAGGATGAGTGACTGTTCATACTGTGATCTTCAAGGAACCTTCCAGTTCCATGACAGTGTTCTTTAAGAATCCTTTGTAGAGAATAAGAATTTCAGAAACATTTGATAGTTTGAGATTAAAATAAATGTTTTGGAAAAAAAAAGTTTTGAAAAGGTAGTAAAAAAGGGAATACTATGAATCTTTTTTACAGATATAGTCTTCATATATGTGTGTGAATCAGTTAAGAGATGATTTTATTAATTATTTCTTCAACGAGGTATGTAGAAACGGTCATTAGCAGTCTTAATTAGATTAATATATTTAACTATAGTCACCTCTCAAGTTGGTACAAATTCTAAATTAATCATTCTGTTCAGTATTTATTTGAAAGAGATACTGAATCACAATGCAAGTTTAGAAAATCACAATTTGTCCCATAAAGACACTGGACCTGGGGTAGAGGAGTGTATTTTCACAATATGCTGCTTATAATTTGTCAAGCTGAATTAATGTTTGGAAAGAAACCATTGTCATCATTTCTATGCATGCCCAATACAGTATACGCTCATGGATATACTGTATCTCTACTCTCATGTGTGCGCTGAGTCGCTCAGTTGTGTCTGACTCTTATAGTCTGTAAGAGTCATATAGTCATATAGTCTATATGGACTATAGACCACCAGGCCCCTCTGTCCATGGAATTTTCCAGGCAGGAATACTGGAGTAGGTCGCCATTTTCTCCTTCAGGGGATCTTCCCAACCCAGGGATTGAACCCACCTCTCCTGCATTACAGGAGGGTTCTTTGCCACTGAGCCACCTGGGAAGCCCCATACTCTCATGGGTAACAGGCAGTATCTTAATTTTCTAGTATTTAATCATCCATTCAATCAATCACTTTTTTTTTTTAAGCACCTGGTATGTGCCAAGCGCCTTTCCTACGTTCTGGGAATGCAATGATGAACAAGATAAAGTTCATGTACCAATTTGCTAGGCCTCATTAAGGAATATAGTGTTTCATAAAAAGAATTTTCCGAGCATCTGAAACCTGGTTTTGGATATCCATCCCTCTGAACGATATTACCACATTCTCTACTGTGAAATTTAATCTTTTTATGATGACTCAGCATTGTCATTTTGAAAGTGTAACGAGTAAAGCCTTTTGGGGAGGTAAATCCTGGGTCTATATCAGGGTTTAAGAATGAATCCCCTATCTGTCTCTGTCTTGGTACTATTTGACCCATAAAAACTGAACTGATTAATCATATAGCAGGCAGTGTCTAAAGTGACCAGGCTGAATGGTGATTTAATAGTCACAGAAAGAACAAGGGCGGTCACACTACCTCCAGCATCATCACCATGTTATTAATCAGTGAACTGTTGTAAATCAGTGATGCTTGATAAGATTTCAGGGAACACTTGAGTTTGATTCGAAAGAGTGGGAATTAAGCTTCAAGGAAAGCCCTCATCCTCATCCCCACCATTGCATTGGAGCCAAATCTGTGATAGTTGTGTACTGTAGCACTGAATAAACACTAATTAAATGAATTATTTTCAGTGTCTAGCATTTCTGCCTCTGCTGCGTAACGGCAGGGCAAAGAGAGAGGAGTGATGGGAATCCATGCTCTCACCACAGGGTAGGCAACTTCTCTGTAAGAGATTGGAATTCTTTCAGCACTCACTGTGTGCAAGGGGGTTGGTGGTGTTGTTATGGCTGCTGTTCAGTTGCTAAGTTGTGTCCAACTCTTTGCAACCCCTGGACTGCAGCACGCCTGGCTCCCCCCTCCCTCACTGTCTCCTGGAGTTTGCTCAAACTCATGTCCATTGAGTCAGTGATGCTCTCTAACCACTTCATCCTCTGTCTCCATCCCCTTCTCCTGCCCTCGGTCTTTCCCAGCATCAGTCTTCTCCAGTGAGTCAGCTCTTCGCATCAGTTGGCTGAAGTTTTGGAGTTTCAGTTTAACATTCAGTCCTTCCAGTGAATATTCAGGGTTGATTTCCTTTAGGATTAGTTTGATCTCTCTGCAGTCCAAGGGACTCTCAAGAGTCTTCTCCAATACCACGATTTGAAAGCATCAGTTCTCTGATGCTCAGCCTTCTTTTTGGTACAACTCTCACATCTGTACATGATTACTGGAAAAACCGTAGCTTTGACTTGTATGTACCTTTGTCGGCAAAGTGTTGTCTCTGCTTTTTGATATACCGTTGAAGTTTTTCATAGCTTTCCTTCCAAGGAGCAAGTGTCTTTTAAATTTCATGGCTGAAGTCACCATCTGCAGTGATTTTGGAGCCCAAGAAAATAAAGTCTGCCACTGCTTCCACTTTTTCCCCATCTATTTGCCATGAAGTGATGGGACTGGATGCCATGATCTTAGTTTTTTTGAATGTTGTGTTTTAAGCCAGCTATTTCACTCGCCTCTTTGACCTTTATGAAGAGACTCTTTAGTTCCTCTTCACTTTGTGCCATTAAGGTGGTGTCATCTGCATATCTGAAGTTATTGCTATTTCTCCCAACAATCTTGATTCCAGCTTGTGATTCATTCAGCCTGGCATTTCATGTGATGTACTCTGCATATAAGTTAAATAAGCAGAGTGACAATATACAGCCTTTTCATACTCCTTTCCCAGTTTTGAACTAGTCTGTTGTTCCATGTCCAATTCTAACCGTTGCTTCTTGATCTGCATACAAGTTTCTCAGGAGACAGGTGAAGTGGTGGTTTGGTATTCACATCTCTTTAAGATTTTCCACAGTTTGTTGTGATCCACACAGTCAAAGGCTTTCATGTAGTCAATGAAGCAGATGTTTTTCTGGAATTCTCTTGCTTTCTCTATGATTCAATGAATGTTGGCGGTTTGATCTCAGGTAATTTCCTCTGCCTTTTCTAAACCCAGCTTGTACATCTGGAAGTTCTTGGCTCATGTTCTTGTGAAGCCTAGGTTGAAGGATTTTGAGCATTACCTTTCTAGCATGTGAAATGAGTGCAATTGTACCATAGTTTGAAGTTCTTTGGAGTTTGCCTAGGCAAAGTGTTTTATAATAGAGAGGAAGATTACATTGCAGAATTAGACAGCTGGATGGCACCTGAGAGGTCTTGTTCAATCCAGTTATTTTGGAGATTGGAAATTTTTGATATTTATTGAGATGAAAAGATTTTTCCCAGGTTATTCAACTAAAGGGCTTCCCAGGTGGCTCAAGAATCCGCTTGCCAAGGCAGGAGATGTGGGTTTAATCCCTGGCTTGGGAAGATTCCCTGTAGAAGGAAATGGCAACCCTCTCCAGTTTTATTGCTTGGGAAATTCCATGGACAGAGGAGCCTGGTGGGCTGCTGTCCATGGGGTTGCAGAAGAGTTGGACATGACTTAACAACTTAACAACAGCAACTCAATTGAAAAATGAAAATAGAACTGGAACTAGCATCCATATCTTCTGTTGCTTTTTCCATTTCATCATAACTCAACTCTCGTTCCGTTAGAAAAAAGGAGCAGTTTGTGTTGCTCTCTGTATGTAGAGCAATTATTAAAGATGGGTCTGATGGGTTGTTGATGAGAAGATTGTGAGGCAGAATAAAGGTATTGTTCCCCATATTTATGCTGATCTAGAGGATTCTCCAGAAATCTCTCCCAACAAAATGGAGATTGATGTAAAAGTATTTTGGGCAGATCTTGGCAGTTAAAAATTTCATTGTTAGAATGTTATTTTAGAACCAAGAAATAACATGGATAGCAAATTTTGTCATCCTGGTTTTCAGTGTGATGAATGTAACTTTACCGATCTTTTGTTATTTATGGTCTTTGTAGGTTGGCAGCCTCGTTGGTTTGTTTTAGATAATGGAATCCTGTCCTACTATGATTCTCAAGATGACGTTTGCAAGGGGAGCAAAGGAAGTATAAAGATGGCAGTTTGTGAAATTAAAGGTAAGCGAACATATTGAATTAGATGAATCTGAAGTTAGGTAAGTGATAGTTTCTTCAGCATACTGCAAAAAGAGGAGGAAACCAGGTAGGTATTTTCTAGTGCCATTTATCTCCATATCGTTCAGAAATGGCACCTAGTGTTGTTAAGCACAAGTTTTTTTTACTTCTCCCTCTATAAAAATATTTAGACTTGAAATTCAAAGTACAAGTGTTAGTCTTCCAATTTGGACTTGAATAACAATTTCTTGTGGATGCCACTTTAAGTATCCATGCTAAGTCTACAAGTGTTTTTTTTTTTCCCCCTCATTCTCATTGAAAGGTATTGTAAAGAGTGGAAGCTCAACTCAAAGAAGATGAGGCCAGCGAAGTAGATTTGTGAAATGTGAACTCAGAGTTGTAAATGCTGGTTTTTTGCAGAGCTGCAGATAAGCTCTTCTGGGTTATAGAGATGTTTTCCTTTTCTTCTTTTTTTATGATCTTGAGAGCTTCCAGGAGTACTATCAGGAATGTTGTAGGAAGTCCCTCTAGTGGAATTTGTCTGATGTTTCCCCCAAGATTACACTGGGCTTATGTGTTTTAGGGAGGAGAATCACAGAGGTAAAGTGTTATTCTCATCACATCATAACAGGAGTACTTGCTATCAACATGATAGCCCACTTTTTTCCCCCAAAGTATAATTTCTGTTTTAATATTTTTGGAGAAGATGGTTTTTTATTCAGTGTAAAAGGACTTACATGGGCTTTGGTGCAGGTCATGGGGCAGCTTCAGCAGGTCTAAACTGGGGTCAGGGGTGTTTGGTCCATCTGGGCTTCACGAGAATGATTCCTGATTATCTGGCTGTGACTGGCACAACTCATGCAGTAATGTAGTTTCAATGTAAGTACAGCTGGGGAAGCACGTAGGCATAGAACACTTGCCGGGGTCCAGCCTCAGCAGGATCCAGGGGATACCCTCAGGATGAATGGCGTCGGCGAGAAAGAGAGAGAGAGACACGTGAGAACAGCCTTGATAGGTCCAAGTCTCAGGATGACGAGAGAGAGAGACACCAGACTGGGATGTTTGCAGCAGAGTCTGGCAATCCTTTATTTTTTACCGTAGCTTTTATACCCTAAGTTAGTACATTTCTAAGGGGAAGCTAGTTTAACATTACATCAGCTTGTTCTTCACGAAACTAGGGTGTTTTCTGCATACTTCTTTGTTTATGAGGGTCTTGTACATTATCTTCTGGCCTTGGGTCCTATTAACATTTTATGCAAGTCAGGTGAATGTAAACCTATTTTCTGTTTCTATGGTGACCTTAACTGAAAGGTAGCAGTCTCATAGGGCAACAGTACAGAGTAGAAGTATAACCTTGTTAATACAAAAATTAATCCTTCTGCAGAAGCTGTCAGTTGCATTTATCTAAGAAGTTTACCCCACACTGACTCTACGACTTTGGTGAGGCAGCTTCTGCCTAGCACTCCTGGCTGACAGTTAACAACCATTTCATTGTTACCACACTAGGGCTAAGTTCTTATTTCTCTAGATCTTTAACTATATTAACAATGGTTTCTATAACACAACCTTAGCACATTAAAAGCAAAAACACAGCAAGCAGAACAGAGCAAGCGAACGTCAACCCAATAACCACCTTTAGAATAATTTTTTTAATGTTTTCTAATAGGACTCCTTCACCCTCAAAAATGCTCTATGTCTATTAGGGCTTTTATATAATCAGATTTTTCTTTATGCTATTTTATGATTAGGATATTATAAGCAATCATGCATATTAGTACCAAGGGCATAAATGCATTTGGCTAACAAACTACCAGCAAAGGAGTTTAAATTAAAACACTCCTTTCACCCTGGATAATCTCATAAAATACCACCACCTGGGAAACTTATTGATTAAAGTTCTAAATTGATCCTTTTTTTTTTTTTCTAAATTGATTCTTATTTGGGAAGAGATCGGGGAAGGCCTTCTGCCTGTGTCACAGAAATTAGGGAGTCGTCTATTGAGGCAGGCATCAGAAAGACAGATATTGTCTTTAAGGTGAGCGCCGGGGGCAGCTTTTCGAAACCCCTGAAAACCTGATCCGCCTTGCCTGTCAGGTTTTCTCCCTCTGACCTTGTCATGGGTAGGGTCTCGTGTGTTGGCTCCCGGCAAACACTCGCTTCTGAAATGTCCTTGATGGCTGCAGCCTCTACTGTGTTTTCAGTGGTGAACTTTTGAATGGCCTTAATGGTGTCCTTGGGTACACATTGGGCAGAGTTGATACAGTGAATAGGCTGCACATGGCTATAGCCCTTTTAGGCACGACTGTTGTTTCTTCTTTTCTTGGTCATCTTGGAAGTTAGGACCTGAAAGAGCTGACACATTACTGTTGACGTTAATCTTGACCACCTGGCTGAGGCAGTGTCTATCAGATTTTTCTAGTGTAAAGTTAGCCATCCCTTTTTTTTTTTTTGCATACTGTGCTTTTTCAAAAGGGGAGAAATAAAGTGATTTAAGTCCTGCTGTAATTTTCATAAAGGAAGGTTTTGTGGACTGTTGATTCATTTGTGTGTGTAGTTCGGGTATGTGGGGTGCAAGCAGGTAGGAGAGAGCAGACAAAATGATAATGAAAAGTATTGAATTCTTCAAAGAGAATTGAAGGAAAAGATAAAGCACTAGAGGAAGGAGTGTTAAACCATACAGGGGTTCATGGCTACATAAGATATAGGAACACTTCACCCTGGTGGGACTGTTACATGCGTAGTCCCTAAACTATATGAGGTGTAATTTTTTTTTTTTTTATAAATCACACAAGAAAAGCACATTCAAAGCATGAATTTTTATTTTTAAAATGATGGTTTTATTTAATTATATTCCTCAGATTTGATTCCAAATGAGATTCTGACTCTTGTCAGAAATCAAATTACATTCAAAGTTCAAAGATTTGACAACCTTGAGGATATTTAAAAGACTGTTAGTGGCAAAATTCTAAGGCAACTCTAGAACTTTTTTAAGTCATGTCAGCATTTTTATTGTCCATGTTTGTTTAAAGAATAAGATACATAAGTGGGTATAAATCTTCAATATTCAGCCTTATGAATGCCAAAGTACTGAATACAATTGTATAATTACCACCCAAATCAAGAATTAGAATATTGTCAGCATTCCAGATGCTGGGATAATAATCATGTTCCCTGAGCCACTAATCTCTCTAAAAGGTTACCATTAATCTGACTTTTATCACCATAGATAAGTAATGTCTGCTCTTGAGCATTTTATAAGTGGAATAGATCAGTATTTTTTTGAACTGAAATATTTTTTTGACAATCACTGCAGCCATGAAGTTAAAAGATGCTTGCTCCTTGGAAGAATACCTATCACAAACCTAAACTATGTATTAAAAAGCAGAGATATCACTTTGCTGACAAAGGCCCGTATAGTCAAAGCTGTGATTTTTTTCCAGTAGTTGTACAAATGTGAGAGTTGGACCATAAACAAGGCTGAACTCCGAATAATTGATGCTTTCGAATTGTGAATTGTGCTGAAGAAGACTCTTGAGAGTCCCTTGGACAGGAAGGGACTGATTGATCAAATCAGTCAATCCTAAAGGAAATCAACCTTGAATATTCATTGGAAGAACTGATGCTTAGCTGAAGCTCCAGTACTTTGGCCACCTGATGGGAAGAGCCGACTGATTGGAAAAGACCCTGATGCTGAGAAAGATTGAGGGCAGGAGAAGGGGGTGACAGAGGATGAGATGGTTGGATGATGGATGGCATCACTGACTCAATGGACATGAGTTTGAGGAAACTTGGGAGATAGTAAAAGACAGGGAAGACTGGTGTGCTGCATTCCTTGGGGTCGCAAAGAGTCAGACATGACTTAGTGACCGAACAACAAAATATCCAAGAATGGTCTTTATAAGTAGAATAATAGGATAACTAAACTTTTGTGGCACTTATTTGCCATAGTACACTGAGCATCTGGTCAGTATTTTCAGTAATTGATCATCTAAGCTAGGGCTTCTGCCAGACTTTCTGGGCCTCTCATCATTTGACTCCACTCAGCTTGTGTATTCATGAATATATCATTATTTTGTAAACCAACACAAGACTATTTAGGCCTGTCTCCTGATATCCTTAGTACATACTGCATTCAGTTCCTCGTCTAGGCCTTTTCTTGTGCTGTTTTTCTCTTAACCAAGTTCTGCTGTCATCAGATCCTTCTTAAGCTTTTTCACTTTCTTCTTCTTACTTTTCGTTATCATCACACATGATGTCTCTGTATCAAAGAGTTCAGCATTTCAGTGCTTTATTTTTACCTTATTAGTTTGTTGCCTAGATAAAATTATTTCCTCTGTTAGAGAAAAGACACCTTTTCCCCCCCTTTTCTATCTTTCCCTCTACAAGCACTGCTCTGAGCAGAGTAAATATTTGTTGATTAATGACAACATAACGTAAATTAATCTTACAGCAAAGATTGAGGATTGGCTCAGTATAATCCTTGGCTAGCTTGCTTTTGTCTGAGATCCAGGGTGGGGGTAGTGTAGGAGAGGAAGAGGAGGGTGGAGAGGAAGCGGAGATCTTCAAAATGTTTTCCCAGTTATTATGAGATGTTCATTGGTTGAGGACTGTTGTTCTGATGGAAGGTTACTTTAGTTGCCATTTATTACACTTTATCTATATGCCAAGCACCATCCTAGGTCTGGGTGGGAGGTGGGGAGTGTTCCAAAACACACACTGCTTTCAAAGAAATTAGTTTTAAAAAAAGTGTGGGAAGTGTGGCAGTGGTACAGGTGGTCCCAAGGGAGGGAGTTCTTAGATCTCACATTTCAGTAGTTAATTTGTTGACTGTTTTCTCTTCATGTGCTGCCACCACTTGACTGCCCACCTGGGAATATGGGAGAATGGTGGCTTGGAGGGTGCCCCTGGAGGGCCCCTTAGGGAGGTGGTGCTGCCTGCATCTTGAATCAGGGTTTGTTGTTTTAAGTCAAAGTTTTAACAGTAAGTGATGATTTGATTTTCCCCAAATTACTTAAGTCTGTGACTGTATCTCGCCTTTGTTTATCATCACAGTCCATTCAGCTGACAACACAAGAATGGAATTAATCATTCCAGGAGAGCAGCATTTCTACATGAAGGCAGTGAATGCAGCTGAGAGACAGAGGTGGCTGGTTGCTCTGGGGAGCTCCAAAGCCTGTTTGACTGATACAAGGACTAAAAAAGAAAAAGGTAACTATACATTTTTCCTTCATGGTGAAAATATTTTCTTAAACATAAATGTGAATTGTTATGTTCACTTATAGTAAATTATTCCAGGGAAATAATCAGAAATGTTGATCTGTGTACATAAATGTTCATTATAATGAAAAAATCTCTAAATATTGCCAAGGTTTACATTTAGGGGAAAGGTTCAGTAAACTATATAGTGCTTTTGTAGGCTGATATATTATGTAGCCAGTAAAATGTTTAGGAGGAATTTTGATGATGTGAGGAAATGCCCAAAGTCATATGGTAATTAATTAAAAAGAGCAATATTCAAAATTATGTAGCCATTCCTTGGCCAGCTCAGGAAAAATATGTAAGTATTGGTCAAGTTCTTACCTTTGCAAAAGGAATTTGTGGAAAAAAGACTCACTTTTCCCTTTATGCCCTTTGACTGTACGTTTTGACTTTACCATGTTCACATATTGCCAATTCCAAAGCAAAGCAAGGGAATTCCATTGCAGTCCAGTGGTTAGGACTTGGTGCTTTCACTGTCGTGGCCCCAAGTTCAATCCCTGGTCTGGAAGCTAAGATCCCCCAAGCCTCAAAGCAAGGCCAAAAAGAAAAATAAAAAGCCAAGCAAATAATTTATGGTGTTAGTCCAGTTATGTGCAAATATAATGTGAAAATAATAACAGTATTTATATTTTGGTTGTGAGATTGCAGGGGTTTTTTTCTATATTTTTTATTATATACTTTTTGATTTTCAAAAATTTTCAGAGAATGACTTTTATAATTAAAAACAGTAGCAGTTATTTAAATTGGTGAAAGCAACTAAATATGGATATTGAAAAATGAAGGCTAAGGATTGAATTTAAACAGTTTTCAAATATATGGAAGAACATCATGGATAAAGTATGGCTAAGGGTAGGATAACAGAGAATGAGTAGTCAAAATAGCCAAAAGATAAAAACAGCCCAAATGTTTATAGTTGGGTGAATGGGTAAGCATAGTATGATATGTACATATGGTGGAATTTTATTCAGCCTTGTAAAGGAAGGAGATTCTGATAAATCCTACATTGATGAGTTTTGAATATACGCTGAATGAAATAAGCCAGTCACAAAAAGAAACATACTGTATAATTCCACATCTGTGTCTTTGTTTCATAGAGACAGGAAGAATGGTGATATCTTGGGATTAAGGGAGGGGGAAAAGGGGAGTTAGGGTTTAATGTGTGTTGAGTTTCAGTTGGGGAAGACGAAAAAGTTCTGGAGATGGATGGTAGTAATGGTTGTATAGTAATGTGCATGGTCTTAATGCCATCGAATTGTATATTTAAAAATGGTTAAAATGGTAAATTTTGTTATATATATGTGTGTGTATATATAATATGACTACAATAAAAAAGAAAGAATGGCCTTAAACTTGGGTAGAAATTAACTTAGGTTAAGTGGGCAGATAGATCTGAGCTGCTTTGGTCCACTCTGGCTACAGGGCCTTTGTGACTAGTGCCACAAAGCCGTGCCCCTGGCTCCAGGAATATGGAGAAGCACCAGGATCTACCGTGTGTGCCCCTTTTCCTTTCTCTGCTGCTCACGCATCTGTTTAGAAGGTATTGGTAATCGAGTGGCTAGGATTATGGCTGATGTTTAGTGTGTCTGGAGATAAGGAAAGAAAAGTAGGTTCTTAATTAAAACAGATTCTTAAAACAATTTTATATGAAAATGAAGCTGTGAAAGGAATAAAAAAATAAATGCTTATATAGAGCAGTTTAACAACATAAAAGTTAAAAACTTCTATATACTGAAATACAATAAAGAAAAGTGAAAGAAAGCTGACAGATCTTGAAAAATATCTGTAGTATTTTGAATGGATGAAAGATTACTATTTTTAATGCATAAGAACTTTTATAAATTTTCAATTTATATATTATTAAGAGAAAAACAAAAATCAGAACTGGAAAAAGGACCGTAAAGGACAAGAAAAGCCAATTTACAAAAAAAGAAATATAAGCACTTATTAAATGAAAGATGAATAAATAGAATGGAAATATCCTGTATAAGGCATTCATTGTCATCAATCCATCTCTGGAAATTAATCTACCTAAACTTCATGTCAGATATATGGCTGCCAGCTTTTTCTAGTTATCTAAAAAGATGATGTTTCCTCAGGGAAAAACTTTACATTCTGTTTTCAAGATCTCATACCTCCTAAGCTATAGGTACTTATGTCTATTGCCTTACTTTTTAATGATTCCATTTTGTTGCTTAGCCCCTAAAATATGAAAATGGTCTATTTGAATGTTTGCATGTGTTCCTTTCAGAAATAAGTGAAACCAGTGAGTCTCTGAAAACCAAAATGTCTGAACTTCGCCTCTACTGTGACCTCCTAATGAAGCAAGTTCATACGATCCAAGAATTTGTTCACCATGATGAGAGTCATTCATCGCTCAGCATAGAGGTATATCCAAGATGATCCTTTCATGTCTGGTTATGCTTTCCTGCACACGTGGTGGGTGAGCACCTTCACATAAGGTGACTGAGGAGCATTTTCAAGACAAGTTATTCTCAGCGTCAGACCTCTTGTACTGTAGACTATCTGGAAACGTGTATGATCTTTTAGATTTGGCCTGTATAACCAGAGTAAAGCAGCAGGCAGAACATTTCTCCAAAGAATCAAGGCCTGTCTTTATAGCCAGTTGATACTTTGATAGTTGGGGTGGGGAAGAAGCATTACATACAGCCTCTGTTCCCTAGACGTACTGCATGAGTTCACTGGACAGCTGCTATGTTCTTTCTTTTCTAATAAGGTTCTAGCTTAGCTATTGAGGGTTAATAATTTGGCTTTATAAAAGAACGTGAAAAAAATCCTCTTAGAGCAGTGATGTAAGAATTAAAATTCAGATTTATGAGACCTGGCTATGAAATAGGCTCATTCTTTCTGATAAAGTAGGACAGTGAGCCTTCCTGCTCTCTGGGTGAAAGACCAGCATGGTTCCCAGTTCCCTTTTGCCTGCCTTGGGAGAAGTGGGACACGAAACCTTCCTGCTTCTACTGGGGCCTTCTCCTGGGGAAGGATCATGGCAGTTGTCTCTGAATGTAGGTATGTTAAACTTGAAGGCACTTGCTGCTTCATTGCAGGCTCCCCAGAGGCAGGTGCCCTTGCATCTGCTCCAGTGGCTAAGGGACAGTGTCAGGGACCCAGTCTTGTGCCTTCCTTCCACTCCGCCATTCTTGGTGTGTTGGTTTTCTCTCCTCATGCTGAGCCTTCTATGCTACTGCAGGGTCTCACAGAAGCAGGAGGCAGTGGGGTGGCCATGTTAGAGAGAGTCTCAAATTGCTATCCTTGGCTTTTATCAGAGAATGAAAATTCCAGAACCCCAGCAGACTTCTCATTATCTTTTTAGTCTGAGTCAGTGGAAAGTAGGAAAAATGAGTATTTGACAAAGGATCATGGAATCAATGTGACTGACTTATACCAGTCTATATTCATCGCCCAGGGGCAGGACACTCTGCTGTCTTAAAAAAAAACCTTGGAGTTTGTATTCTACCAAGGGAGAAATGGTATGATAACGTGCATGGGGTAGGCATGAATCCTGCCTGCCTCTTAAGTCATCGTCATGGTATTCCACTACTGTGATCACCTTTGGAATTCTGACACTTAGAGGCTTACAGTCTAGGTTACATTTTTTTTAAGATAAATTTTTTGTACACAGTTTTTCAATATGATGCTTGGTTTAAGTGTAAGAGTTATTTTTTCATGGAGTATAATTTCATATATTGTTTGCCTGAGAGACAGATAATTTTTATTCATTCGTTGATTTAGTTTGCTAAGGTAATGTATTTTAAATAGATTTGAACATAATCTAATAAGGTGCCCATTGAAGGTAATGTTTATTACTTGATTATAAGATGGTATATGAATCCACATAGATTTGAACATAATCTAATAAGGTGCCCATTGAAGGTAATGTTTATTACTTGATTATAAGATGGTATATGAATCCACATAATTATATATGAGTCTGTTCAACTCTTTGCATATTATTTTTCAGAACATGAATGAAGCCTCGTCTCTCCTTAGTGCCACGTGTAATACATTCATCACGACGCTTGAGGAATGTGTGAAGATAGCGAATGCCAAGTTTAAACCCGAGATGTTTCAGCTGTCCCATCCGGATCCTTTAGTTTCTCCTGTGTCGCCTTCCCCTGTTCAAATGGTTGGGACTTGGGGTTTTTCTTCCAATGATATTGCATGTAGCTTTGTTTTTGTGTTTATTTTTAGGGCTGGAAACTGGCAGTGGGAGGGAAAGAGTCAACAGGTTGAATTTCTTTTGGCTGTACTCAGCTTTTGTATGGGAGCCTCTCAGTTGACGGGCTCAGTGTGTGCCAGGGTCCTGACCCCCTCTCCTTGGAAGGGCTATGCCATTTACCCCAGCATACCAGGAAAATATAGAACTCTGGGAGCTGTGACATTAAAGACTGGGGAGCATGCTTCTATTTGATAAAAGCACCGCAAGAGGGTGATGACTTACTCACAAGGGGTTAAAATTAAGCAGCTCTTTAAAGGAGTTGTAAGAGTTTGAAACACCATGTTACAGGGGAGACAGTATTTTGTAGTCGGCATTTGGATTTGAACCTTCCAAAGAGGCAAGGTATTTAATCTCTCTGGACTTTATTTTTCTCATCTCTAAAATACATGTTATTTTTACATCAGAGGAGATCTAACCTGTTTAAATGTTAGGTTAAACATTAGGTTCTTACTCCGAACAGCAGGACTCTTTTTGCCAAGGGTGGTGGCTTCATTGAGCTTTTCAATGTAATAAACTTACTCAAGCATGCTGTGGGGGAACTTGGAGATGAGATAACTTTGATGAAACCTTATATTTTTTCGAATCAAACTATTTTCATGAGCCCTGGCTTTCATTTAGCAGTTACCTGAAGGCTTAATTGTTGGCAGAAATAATAAGGTACAACTTATTCCAAGATTTTCTTACCACCACAGCAAATTTAGTCATATGAGAATTAGTAACAATTATTACTCACATTTATTTAGATTGTGGGTGCATACTAAGTTGCTTCACTCGCGTCCAGCTTTGCAACCCTATAGACTGTAGCCCACCAGGCTTCTGTGTCCATGGGCTTCTGCAGTCCAGACTACGGGAGGAGTAGTATGGGTTGCCGTGCCCTTCTCCAGGGGATTCTCCCAACCCAGGGATCGAACCCGCGTCTCTGTCTCCTCATTAGCAGGCTGCTGCTTTACCAGGAGTGCCGCCTGGGAAGCCCCACTGAGATCATAGTTTTCTAATTAATTTATGGTGGACTAACAGCATCCTCCGAGATAAGTAGACCATGAAAGTGAGTTTTATGGCCAGATTGGTCTGGGAGTGTTAGGTTAAGTTAAACAAATTGGGTTTCTCTGTCATAGGACTTCTTAGAACCTCTTTTATGCTGAAGTGCGTGTGAATCTCTGAGGAGAGGTGGTGTGTTTCTGAAATTTATTTGGTGGTTGAACCCTTCTGTGTATTTTTAAATAGCAACTCACAGGATTGTGGCATTTGATAGAATGCAGTTTGACAGTGTTGCTTTTTAGAGCAATTTTAGCTGTACTGTGAACTGCTAAATAACATTATAATTGAACAGAAAACCCTAATCTTTTGGGATGGATGTAATGTATTCCTGAGCTTGCTATACAAGGGGTACACAGTACTTTTTTTAAGGTGTCAATTATTTTTTTATAAGGTATTTTGTTTTGTAGAGTCAAATATCAAGAAAACACCTCAGACCTACCTAATGACTGCATCAAACTTCTGAGGAAAATGCTTCTGTTATAAATGTTCTATAGTCCACAGAGGTCATTTGTGTATTTTATGTAAACCATAATAGCTGTCTCTTTTAAACTAAAGTCTTTTATCAGTGGAAACATACAAAAATCCAATAAGTTAATCTAGGAAATATTGGTTAGAGGCCACTTATTTTTCCTCACTGTGCCATTTTACTTCATTCTTAAAGCGAAAATTGTGGCTTATGGTAAATAGTTCTGGAGACATAGAATAGAAAGTAAGGTCAGATAGTCTTCAAGGGGAATGTTTTTTTTCCTATTTTTTTTTTAATGACATGAGTAAATGAAAAAGCTGAAAGATTTGAGAACTCCAAAATTAACTTGATCTTTATAACTGCTTAGGATAATCTCATGTCTGTCTTTAAATTAGCTTGCATTCATTTATATCTCATCATCATGGAAGTTTAAACACTTGTCATTTTGATCCATAAATTGAGTGATAATTGTAGTGGGAGTATTGCTGGGTGTGTAATCCTAAAGGAAGTGATTTCCCTTAAAGGAGCTGTTAATGTCCAGCTGCATCTTTATTTTAATCATATTAAGTATCCCTGGACTACAAATTGGATGGGTCTTAATTCTCATTTCAATAGGGATTTCTCAGAGCAACTGTAGAAGGCCTTTACATAACACAGCTGTTAGACTTGAACTTACTTCTAAGACTTTTGAGCTTCTGTTTTTAAAGCAACCATCCTTAGTTTAAATAAAAACTTTGCTTTTTTGCTACCTTGCTAAAATAATACCTTAAAATAATATACCTTGAAATAATCTACTTAGCTGCCTCTGTCTTTTTAGTGAAGTAGTTATATTTTCTAAATTATATTTTGTATTTTTCATAGTAACTTTCTGATGAATCAGATTTTATTTATTTATATTTTAAGTATATGATTTTAGAAACCTAGTTGAGGCTTAGAGTTTCTCTTCTGATTTCTTAAAAGACTTGAATTATTAATGCTGTTTTCCATGAAAACCACCCACACTCTCGAACATCTGTGTAATAGCTACCTGAATAATGAATGGCAAGGAGAAGCTCTGCCTTTTAAAAAAAGAGACAGAGAGAGACATTTATTAGACTGTTTTCTTTTCTGACTTTCTAATTACTTCTTTTCATCACAAATAGTGTGATATTTTTTTGAGGGGGCTAGTTAGGTATATTGTTTTATATATATTTATACATATATGTGTGTGTGTGTGCATGCATGCTAAGTTGCTTCATTTGTGTCCGACTCTTTGAAACCCTATGGACCGTAGCCAGCCCGGCTCCTCTTTCCATGGGATTCTCCAGGCAAGAATACTGAAGTGGGTTGCCGTACCCTCTTCCAGGGAATCTTCCTGATCCAGGGATTGAACCCATGTCTGTTATGTCTGCTGCATTGGCAGGCGGGTTCTTTACCACTGATGCCACCTAGATACATATATAAAATAAAATTTGGCTTTTAATATGGAGAAAATAATCGAGCATGTTTTTGTATGCTTTGAGAAAGATTTCAGTTATTAGTTACTAGGGAGAAAGCTTTATATTGTGCTAATGTTACTTGAGTCTGTAAAAAACAAATTTTGGGGGTCAGCTATCTTTTCTTTGAGTAAATTTGTTAATTATCATCACCATAATAATATATTAGAGCTCTCTTATTCTACTTGACCTATAATTAAGTTTATTTTCTTTTAAAATTTCTAGATGAAGCGTTCTGTCAGCCATCCTGGTTCTTGCAGTACAGAGAGGTAAAAAAACCTTTTCTTTTGACCAAATTCTCTTAAAATTCTATCTACCTAGGGAAATTTTTTTGTCTTTCATGAAATGGAATGTAAACTCTGTATGGGCAGAGTCTTGTTCTGCTTTGCTCATCATTGTTTCTCTTACTGCTTAGTATAGAGCCTGGCCCCACTAGACAGTAAAGAAAAATAATGAGTGAATAAAATAGCCAGTAAGGTAAGCAACTTGCCAGCTATCATTTTTTAAGCTGTAAATTATAACAAGTGATGGTAAATAGAAGTCCATTTTCAATGTATTAAGGCTCCAAGCTCAGGCTTATTGTACTATAGTTTATTATAGAATCATATATTTATTCTGAGCTGTTTTATTTGGAGCTAAGGCTATTACTGAAAAGAGAGAAAAAGGAATTGATATTTTAAAGTATATATTCATATCAGCACATTTAAAAAATTTACCTTTTTGATCTTGCCAGTATATCCCATGCTATTTATCCTAGCAGATAATATTCTTTTGAGTTGCTATGGTTGTCTTATTGGTTCTTTGAAAAGTGATGAAATTATAGTGACATTAGCATTTATGTCTCTACATCAATATGGGGTAGAGGCAAAAAGTGGTTATTACAGGATTATATGAAATCATGTATGTGAAACTTTAGAAATTTGTTAAGTACTATAGAATTTAATGAATCTTTCAGTAAATGTCTATTGAGTGCTACCAAAAAAAAAAAAAATGCTGAGACCCCTTATTATTTTGTCACTATTTTTTCCCCCCTCTCATGATTATGTAATTGATTGAACTATTATGTGCTCACAGGAGTCCAATGTTGTATCTAATTCTATCAGGGAACGAAATATTTCACCAACTGAATTTTCCAGAAAAATAAAAGCTTGATTCCTTTAACAAAGTTTTATTTTTTTCAAATTTTTATTTTTATGATTGAATTTTTTGACCTATATCTTATCCATTTTGCCTTATTAAATATACAATATGAGTCTTTAAACTTTTATTTTTTCTTGGTGAATCAAGTTTGTCATTACAAACAGTAATGTTGGGCTGTCATCCAGTGATAGTGCTATTGAGTGGTGGTGATTTGCTTCTATGTTGAATTTTTTAGTTTGATTTTTCTAGTTTTCTGGTTTTCCAAATTGATTTGTGAAAACTAGTTTTTCTAGCCTTCACTTGGTGTGTTTATCCACTCTTACTACTGTGAGTGAGTTGGCTCCTAGCACACTCCCATACTGCTGGCCCATCCCCTTTGCTCTGCTGTTTGAGATTGGATATGGGTGACACCAGATACATACACTTGTGAAGTCTGTAACTGTTAGTTTTCAAATACTTGTTAACCATAAGACATGTTACTCCCTAGCTGGACCTTCCTCTGTAAAAGAAGTCACTTCATTGTACCTCTTTTCCTTTCAGTTTGGCTCAGAGGCTGTATTCCTCAGCTTAACAGCTAGATTCTAAATGATTTGACTTGTTTATGGTCTGACCTCTGAAGGAGTAGAATGTTGCTGAAATTTTACTTTTGAGTATAAAAAGTTCCTCTTTCATTTAAAGAGAAGTCATTGAAAACTGCAGTTAAGTTGAGGGTGTTTTCCTTTGTTGGAAGTCCTTAAATCTTTTTATTTAATTTACAGGAGTAGCCACTCTATAAAAGAACCAGTGTCTTCACTTCACCGATTCTCCCAGCGACGCCGAAGAACCTACTCAGATACAGACTCTTGTAATGATGTTCCTCTTGAAGACCCAGATAGTAAGTTAGAAAGGGTATGACTCTCCCTTTGGCCTGTTCAGCACAATAGGTGTGGGGCTCTGTAATTGTTGAAATGAAGAATACTGGCAGTGAATAGGGTCAGTACTAAGAAGTACTAAATATCTCTTTGTAAATGCCGTATCTTAGATTTACATATGTAATATCAACACTTTCACTCCCATTGCATTTTAGTAATTTCTTAGTAATCTTATATTGCCACTATATTTGCATTTAAAAAACATTTTAGAAGGAAGCATAAATTGTGAGTTGGATTCTAGGGAAAAATAAAGTCAAGTTCTAAGTTCAGAGAAAAATAAATCAGCATTGTTACTTAAATAATTTGAAATGGCCAAGGTAAACAATTTTTTTCTGGTGGTGATGGTGAATTATGCTAACATTTATTCCTGTGCTTTTTTATTCCTTATTATTAAAGAGACAGTATACTGTGATTGAATAGGAAAGATTTTGTGATTTATGTTAAATTTAATTATCTTTTTCTTTGGAGGAGAAGCTTTGAAAGTCTGTCAGAATATGTACTTAGACAGTAGTGACCATGATTTCCAGTGAATGCAAATATGGTATAATTATTACAACTCCATTAATAGACTTTTACTTTCCAAAGTCTTTACTATTTTTCCATGAAACATGTGGGGTAGAAATTACATACTATTCTCAATTAAGGAACAGGTTGTGTTCCAAGGGTTTATTTTTAAGTCAGCTGCTTGGAACAAGATTTTATTTCCCTTATGGAAATGAAATGGTGAATGGTAGTTAGATTCTTTAGACTGCATGGAGAAGCCCAGCTAATTTATAGTGTGGCTGAAATGAGATGAAACAATGGTGTTGGATTTCTAGTATTTGATTATATTGAAAACATTCATTAACATAGAGTTGTTTGACTTAATCAGAACATTAAACAGGTTTAATTAGAGGGGAAAGTGAAGTTGATGAAGATGGTTGAGATTCTAAAAGGAACTGCTGCTCACTCTGAGATCTCAAGAAGTTGTTAGCATCTCTTTTCCTTAATGCCCATTTTTCTTACAGAATTAATCTATTTATTGATGTAGAACACTACTATGTACTCATTATCATTTTGAACTTAAGTTGGGGCAACAAGTGAATAAACGAAAGAAGGAAACGGATTGAGTAGGGGAAGGGTACGGGAGAAAGAACCTTTCCTAGACCAGCTTAATGCACCTTCGAAATGATGAGAGAGAGAGGGAGATGGGCAAAGAGGCTGAGCATGGGGAAGAAGTGCCACCTGAGGCAAGTGACACACACTGCGCTTGGCCTTCCTCTGTCCGCCTTTGAAAATGCATGGCCCTTCACCTAGAGCTTATGAGACACTTTTGTATGCCTTGTACTTTTTTTAATGCCATTTCTCTTTTTTAAGGGTGTCATTTTCACTTGTGATAGCTAAATTAATTTTTTAAGCCAGCCATTTTTCTTAGCTGTCTTTTCTTTTAGAACCTCCAGTTCTGAATTGTTGAAAACTGTTTTCATAAGATCTAGGTGTAAATGGCTTATGCCATTTAACAATTTAGCTGTTAAGGAGTGAAACAAAATTATACACCCGTGTGTGCAAACCCACACACATACCTGCATTAATATTTATATGCACATGCATTAATCTTTGTATACATACATATATCTCAACTCTTTAAAACTTTTTAAAGTTGACAAGTATAGGATAGGTCAATTTTAGCCTTAGATTTCCTTCTTTTTACCCTAAAATTTGGTGTCCCAGTTAGCTGACAAAGCAGAGACTAATACAAAGCATGTGTTAGTTCTGTTTCTTAGAAAGTGTGGGCTTCCCTGATACTCAGTTGGCAGAGAATCTGCCTGCAATGCAGGAGACCCAGATTCGATTCTTGGGTCCAGAAGGTCCCCCGGAGAAGAGATAGGTTACCCACTCCAGGATTCTTGGGCTTCCCTTTTGGCTCAGCTGTAAAGAATCTGCCCGCAATGTGGGAGACCTGGGTTCGATCCCCAGGTTGGGAAGATCCCCTAGAGAAGGGAACGGCTGCCCACTCCAGTACTCTGACCTGGAGAATTCCATGGACTGCATAGTCTGTGGGGTTGCAAAGAGTTGGATGCGACTGAGCGACTTGCACTTTTTAGAAAGTATACCGGGCAGATTGACAGTCTTAGTTGAAAGTCTTTATGTCGCCACATACTTTCCTTTGAGAGATGCAGCTACTTCTTATTAACGAGATTTTTAAATATTTATAAATTTTATGTTAAAAATATGTTCATGTGAAGATGAACAGGCCATGCCAGTGTGTTTCATGTGCTCGCTTGCAGCTGCAGTACCAGTGTTGTGAGCTGTATCCCAAATGGAGCTGTGAGAACTTTCAGTGTGAGGTACCTAGTCAGCCTTGCTCAGAAAGTCTTGTGATGCTTTGCTGTATACCTGAAACAAACAAAACATGATAAATCAACTATACGCCAATAAAAGCAAAACATTAAGGAAAACAAAGCCTTGTGATGAAAAGACCAAGACCTGAGTTAGTCCTTGTTCTGTTGTTACCAACTGTGTGATCTTGGGTTAGGCCTGTGGTCTTTTCAGAACTTGGTTTCTTCACCTAGAAAATCAGGAGGATGCCAGCAGCATTAATGATAAGGCTGAAAACGCAATAGTTAATTAGGACTAAATTCAAATTCAGCAAATCCTTATTGATTACTCCATTATGTGTGAACCTTGGTTCTAGCAATGAACAAAACAAGTATCTCTACTACTTCAGATAGTTTCATAACTTCTTATGAATTTTTCGGTTTCTCCTTACAACTGCCAGTATTATAAAAGTTAGATTTTTACTCTTTTAAGCAAACCATCAAAAGCTTAGCAGGAAGCTATAGGGATTTTATGTCCCTGAATAGAAAATGTTCTTTCACAGAGGACAGAGTTATACTAGTAGGATGTTTAACTTTTTAATTAATTTCTTAATAGGACCTGTTCACTGTTCAAGAAATACACTTAATGGAGATTTGGCGTCAGCAACAATTCCTGAAGAAAGCAGATTTACGGCCAAAAAAAAATCTGAATCAGAAGATCCTCTTCTATCCTTCTCTTCCTGAGGAAACGGAAGTGTCCAACTTCCGCTAAGTATTGCTATGCAAAAGCTGCTGTAATTAAACTATGTTATAGGGAGTAGTTTTTCCCTTAGGATTTCTCTGCACTTTATAGAATATTGTAAAACAAACAAAAAAACAACCCACATACCTTTGAAGTGTATTTTATCTTTATATAGTTTATTTGCAAGAGTATTTTCCTAATAACTTCACAGTATGAATGTGCATCTGTTTTTTTCTTTTTTTTTTTTTAAACAAATAATGGTGTAACATTTTGACATCCATGAGGACAAATGTAGATATTTTTCTAAAAAACTGTGAGGGACTGACAGCTTAGTCAGTGTGAATTGTAGCTTATAAACATGAAATCTTATAAACCTAAGGTTTCAGTTTGACAGAAGTGTGATATATGTAACTTGTGCCATGGACCAAATGGTCACTTTACCCCAGCTGAAATGAGTTATGGTTGCAGCTTGATGGTGTTTGTATTATATTCCTTTAAGCAAAAAGGAAACATTTAATATTCGAGATATTTTTACCCCAAATACTATGACATTGAGGATTTTTAAAAAACCAGACTGTGCTGTCCTTCATATATGAAGTTGACACTACTGATTTATCAATACCAAATGTTGTGTTAAAGTATTTAATTTTTACTTATTTATTTTTCTGTTGCATCAAAAAAAAAAAGATTGCATCCTAACTTTTATGACCTACCAAATTTAAGATGTGTGTGCATTGTTATTTACATTGTCATAGAAAGAAGTTAATGTTTGTAGGGACCTTGCTCACTTCACCAGAGAAATAAATGACTTGCAATGGAAGAGGATTTTAGTGCTTTTTTCCCAGAATAGATATTATTAAGCTACTGTTGTAAGGTATTGATATTTGCAGCTCTTTAGAATATATAGACTTTTTAAATTTATGAATATTTATAAAAAAAGGAATCTGTCAAGGCGACTGCCCTATGTAACTGAGAATGGCATTATTTAAAAAACAAATAGCATTTTTTGGTAGTGCCTGTCCATGCCGTCAGTGTTTGCCTTGTAAACTGTTTTTCCATTCACTTTGGAGTGACGGTTTTGTCCAAGGTTTTAGATGAGGAGCACTTTAAAACAAACTGGTTTGGTGTTTTTAAGTTAATCATATGTTTAATAAATATGTGATTTTTGCATTCAAACTCATCATATAATACATTGTATTTTTTACATTTATTGATAGTTTGTCTAATCTTTATCAAATGGTAATAATATTCTTTACTGCTTTGATTTTGTTTGTATATTTAGACCTCATAGTAAATATACAAGTAAGGCATATTTTTAGCTTTTTTGCCTGTGAGCTTAGAATGTTATGTCCTATTTCATTTTAAATTTCTCTTGTAAGTTTATGTGGGAATTGTTTTAAAAGATTTGTTTAAAATATTTTTTAAACAAATTAAAAAAATATTTGTTATTTCCTTATTAAAATAAGTCTGTAGTTATCGGCTTTCTTAAGTTTAAAATGGACATAAACAATCTATACACATTAATATCCATTTAGATAAACTGTATGCTACTTAAAGTACTTGAAATTTTAAATAGCACACAGGTCATTAGACTATATTAGGAGGAATCTTTTTCTGCTCATGTTGTACTTCATATGTCTAGTTTGAGAAAAAAGAAGTTTGATAATATAGTAAGTTTTCATGTTGAGTGAGTTATCAGGTTTTTGGCTTCTTTTTTTATTTTTTGTAATAGGCATGAGTAGTGATAAGACCATGGAGATCAAGGTGCTACTACTGACTGTGGGAGTTTTTCTAGTAGTTTTTTTTTTTTTTAATCAATAGGTTTATAATGGAAACGCTATAACAAAGCTTTTGAACTCATGGAAAATAAATCCATTTTCTATTGCTTTATCCAAAAATATGAGTTCCTGAGCAGTTTTCTGTAAATATTTTTAAAAATAAAATACAGTTATTTCTGACTCATATCATTTTTTTCTCCTTGAAGCAGGTGCTTTGAACAAGTTTGCTATATTCCTAAATATGGATTTTATTGTGACTGGAATCAACTCATTTGTGAAATCTTTTTTGTTTTTTTTTAGGGAATATCAATGTATCTGGAATTACATAGGTTTTGACCAGTAAGTTGGTATCATGAAGCAAAGCTTCAGGGAACCTTGCATTTTGAGGAGCCCAGTGTATTTTCAAGGGTGCCTGACTTTTCTGAATCTTAAGAAAAAGATGAACCAAATAAGAAAAATTTCATAAGAATTTTGGTTTGTGACGATTTTTGTAGTGTCTAATTATTGGTTGTTCTTGTTTTACTTTATCTAGGCCTTGGGGTTGAGAAATTTGGAGACACTTGGTATATCAGTGATCTAAGCAGAACCAGTGCTTGCTTTCTGTTGTGTAGGAACCCAAGGCTTCTATGCTTAAAACAACTTTGATGAGAGTTCTTTTGTAAGTGGACCAACTTTGAACTTTGTTATATTACACTGAATTCTTGTATTATCTTCAGTCAGGACAAGTCCAGAAATGGATGCTATTTAAACTTAAATTCTAAGGCAAGAGATCTTCATTTTGACAATCTCCATGGAACCTTTCACCTTGAATTGTAGGTTTTCACTATATGTTATTATAATTAGTGTTTAGAAGTTATCATAAGATCTCAGGAAATACAGTCTTGTAATATGTGACTCCATGCATGTTATAGTATTATTAATTTGGACTCTACCGATTCTTGACTTACTACATGAAGTGCCTCTGAGTCTGTCCTTTGAACCTTGCTCCTATCAGCTTGGTGCAGAGAGTATATCCTGGCCTATAAAAAAGCGTGGTTAGGCTGCAGGAGCTCCTTGGAGGAGGTCTCTCTGAATAGCTCTGATCTGGTAAGTAAGTGGACCTGGTAGATAAGGCTTCCTTCTCATGATAAGGCTTCCTTCTCCACTTCCACAATCCTCCTTTCTTTGAATTCATACTGAGTTTGTAAATTTGAATTTTTTTTTAATTAGCTTTTTTGTTTTTTAAGTAATTCATGCACATAGTTAAAAATATCAAATAGAAGCTAGAAGGCTTGTAGTGAAAAGGAGTAATTCCTCCTCTTAGTGCTCTAGAGGCAAGTACTTGTAGCTTTCAGTGGTTGATTCTAGTATTTACCTTCCTATTTTAAAATACGTTTTATTACTCTATCTTGATTTGTCAATTTTTGAAATGATTTTTTAAATTCCTTTTATGGCAGGCAGGATTAGTTTGCTTATATCCTCACCTCCCCTATACCCCCAGTGTAGATTAATCACAACTGTTTGTTAAATCAATGGATATAAATATTGTTTATTGATCATTATCAATTTTTCCTATCATTATTTACTTTCTACTCAGTTCAGTTCAGTTCAGTTCAGTTCAGTTGCTCAATCATGTCCGACTCTTTGCAACCCCATGAACTGCAGCACTCCAGGCCTCCCAGTCCATCACCAACTCCCGGAGTTTACTCAAACTCATGTCCATTGAGTCGGTGATGCCACCCAACCATCTCATCTTCCATTGTCCCCTTTTCCTCCTGCCCTCAGTCTTTCCCAGCATCAGGGTCTTTTTAAATGAGTCAGTTCTTCACATGAGGTGGCCAAAGTATTGAAGTTTCAGCTTTAGCATCTGTCCTTCCAGTGAACACCCAGGACTGATCTCCTTTAGGATGGACGGGTTGGATCTCCTTGCAGTCCAAGGGACTCCTAAGAGTCTTCTACAACACCACAGTTCAAAAGCATCAATTCTTCAGTGCCTAGCTTTCTTTATAGTCCAACTCTCACATGACTCTCACATGACTATTGGAAAAACAATAGCCTTGACTAGACCAACCTTTGTGGGCACAGTAATGTCTACTTTTTAATATGCTGTCTAGGTTGGTCATAACTTCTCTTCCAAGGAGCAAGCTCCTTTTAATTTCCTGGCTGCAGTCACCATCTGCAGTGATTTTGGAGCCCAAAAAAATAAAGTCTGTCACTGTTCCTACTGTTTCCCCACCTATTTCCCATGAAGTGATGGGACCAGATGCCATGATCTTAGTTTTCTGAATATTAAGTTTTAAGCCGACTTTTTCACTCTCCTCTTTCACTTTCAATAAGAGGCTCTTTAGTTCTTCTTCACTGTCTACCATAAGGGTGGTGTCATCTGCATATCTGAGGTTATTGATATTTCTCCCAGCAATCTTGGATTCCAGCTTGTGCTTCATCCAGCCCAGCATTTCACATGATGTACTCTGCATTTAAATTAAATAAGCAGGGTGACACTATGCAGCTTTGATGTACTCCTTTCTTGATTTGGAAGCAGTCTGTAGTTCCATGTCCACTTCTAATTGTTGCTTCTTGACCTGGATACAGATTCTCAGGAGGCAGGTCAGGTGGTCTGGTATTCCCATCTCTTTCAGAATTTTCCGCGGTTTGTTGTGATCCACACAGTCAGAGGCTTTGGCATAGTCAGTAAAGCGGAAGTAGGTGTTTTTTTGGAACTCTCTTGCTTTTTCAATGATCCAACGGATGTTGGCAATTTGATCTCTGGTTCCTTTCTACTAGAACCTTATTTTTCCTTTAATTAATAACTGCCTGATTTTAAAATTTGCTTAGTTTTTTTATGTATATGTTACAGTGATTATTCAAAGGCTTAAAAAAAAATCAGATGATCTGTCAATTCTTTTTTTTCTTTCCCCCATGGGGACATTGTTTCCACAGTCCTTCATCCTTTACCGTCTGGACAATTGCCCTCCAGACCTGTGCATGACTTGGTGGTCATTCTGGGATCATTTTGTTTTTCAGTCTCATGTTGGATCTCTTGTTTATTGGATCATTATTGAGATTTGCTTTACTTTTTTTTGCAAAGCATATCCACAACCAAAAGCTTCCTGGGGAATGGTGGATGAGAGGCAAAGATTTTGAAGCTTTACAGGTTTGAAAATGTCTCTTCTCTTGATTGATTGGTAGTTTGGAGTCTGTGTTGAAAATAAATTTTCTCTTAGAATGTTGAAGGCAGTGCTCCA